ATGAGCTGCACTACCCGAGCCACTTGTGTGGGTTGTAGACTCCGTCTCATGCTACCACTGGAGTGAAAGCACCACCAGCATTCAAAAGTGACCAAACCATCAGCCAGAAAGCATAGGAACTGAGAAGTGGTCTGTGGTCACCCCCTGCAGAACCACTTCTTTATTGGGGATGTCTTGCTAACTGCCTCTACTTTCCACCTGCTGTCTAGTCCATTTGCACAACAGCATGTGAAATTGATTGTCAATCAGTGTTGCTACCTAAGTGGACAGTTTGATTTCACAGAAGTGTGATTGACTTGGAGTTACATTGTGTTGTTTAAGTGTTCCCTTTATTTTTTTGAGCAGTGTATATCTCCTGTGTTGTTGAGGCAATAAAGAGCCGCACAAACGTAGCCAGCCACTAGGTGGCAGCCACAGATTTCTCTTTGTACTTTGTCATCATCTAGTGGTCACACAGAGTTGTCCAGCTGTTCTCTTTATTTTAGCTAAAATTCTTGGGGAATGTAATTGTAATACATTTCAGAAAATTCAAAATTCAGGATTATTTTTTTAGTAATGCCCTCCCTGGAGACTTCTCAGGCTTATGCCCTCCGTGGAGACACTCAGCCCAATCTCTAGGGGTTATCACCATCGGTTAAAAAATAATAATCAGCAGTTAGAACAGAAACACTTCAGCTTAACTAAGAGTCATGCAAAACAGAGGATCAAAATGGCCATTCTGAATCTCAACGAAGCCCAGCTCTGTTTCCATGCTATGAAGCAGGGAAGCAACAGCTTCTCATTGCTGTCACAAAAAGGTAATTTATTTAGATCTCATTTTGCTGCTGCAGGGAATGTACACATTTTTTTTGCAGAAAGCTCTGTGCAGGAGCCATCACGATGAAGCCGAATCCATTCATTGTGGGGATGCGGAATGATGGATTGAGCATTGAGAGCTCACAAAAGACCTGATAAGAGTAGGGGAGATTTGGGGCCAATATTGTCTGGTGTGTGCATCTAGCTCACTGCCTAGAAAAAGAAACAATAACATGAAATCTTTTTCCATACAGATACCACTAAGCACTGGAAATCCTGTCTTAGATCCTCTGGATTCAAGAGCATGATTTTATATGGTAGCACTGCCGCAGACTGAAATATCTTCAAATGAAGTATCTTTACTGCCCACCTAAAGAACAATAAAAAAGGATTCTGTTTTAAAGGGGATTTGCCCAGAATTTAATGACTACTGGTGTGTTTGGGGCCCATTTTATTATATTTCATTTAATCCCACTGGCCTATTGAGGCCTCTTTGCAGCTTATGAGTTAAAAATGATAAGGCAATATAGCTATGACGATTCCTGCAGTAATCTACGGAGCAGTCAGCTACACAGAGAACACGTCCGTCTCTGTAGTAAAAGCTATACGATAAACTTGATTCGGAGGAAGGAAAAGGAAGAATTGGAAAGGAGGATTTTCACCAGCACAGCACGTAAAGCTGAAATTGGAGTAGAATATGGCAGGGAAATCATTTGCTTTTTCACAACTCTTCCATTACCCTGAGCATTTCCTGGGTGTTTATACCTACTATAGGTAGCCCGCGACTTACAACAGTTCATTTAGTGACTAAAGTTACAACAGCACTGAAAAACGTGACTTATGACCGTTTCTCACCTTTGTGACAGCTGTGGCATCCCCATGATCATGTGACCCAAATCCATATGCTTAGCAATTGACTCAGGTATATGACCGTTGCTGTGTCCGGGTGATCACGTGATTCCCTTTTGCGACTTTCTGACAAAGCAAAATCAATGGGGAACCCCAATTCACTTAACCATGTTGCTAACTTAACTGCAGTGATTCACTGTGGCAAGAAAAGTCATTAAATGAGACAAAACTCACTTAACCAATGTCTCACTTAAATCAACATAAATGTCGGGCTCAATTGTGATTGTACGTTGAGGACCACCTGGGTAAGGTAAAGGTTCCCCTCACATATACATGCTAGTCTAGGCTCTAGGGGGCGGTGTTCATCTCTGTTACAAAACCGAAGAGCCAGTGCTGTCTGAAGACGTCTCCGTGGTCATGTGGCTGGCAGGACTAGACGCCGAAGGCGCACGGAACGCTGTTATCTTCCCACCAAAGTGGGTCCCTGTTTTTCTACTTGCATTTTTTACATGCTTTCGAACTGCTAGGTTGGCAGAAGCTGGGACAAGTAACGGGAGCTCACTCCGTTACACGGTGCTAGGGATTTGAACCACCGAACTGCTGACCTTGCTGATCGACAAGCTCACCGTCTTAGCCACTGAGCCACCGACGCTACTGTTACTGTGGTACTTTGTCTCAAATTATCCAAGAGATTGAAGAATGTTATTCACTTGGTTTTGAACTGGGAGCCTTGTTAGATAAGCTCCATTCATGGCCATGAACCCTTCTCAGAGGGTTCTCCAGTTGGCATCCCTCTTGGGGCGGGAAAAAAGGGACTTGCCAATTGTAGGTTTCCACTCATCCACCCACGCCATAGGCCCCACAAGGCAGAACCGCTTCTGATTGTGAAGGGGATGTTTTTCAGATGTTGCAGGGAGAGACTTTGGGGTTAATGGACCAGGAACGCGAGTAACATCTTGTCCGGCAGCGATGAAGGTGTTATGCAAGAGAAAAAGATCACGACGCCGGTCAGTGGCACACCGCTCCCAGAGTCATCCATTGGTGGGAGAGGGCAAGCATCATTGCACCAATGATAGGACTGACCTTGCATCGGACGTAATGGTGAGATCGATACAACAGTGAGGTAATTGTGCCACAAACACAGTGTAAAGCAGGGAGTGGTCATCCTGACATCATTGTGGCCAGGAATAAATACTCATGGATAAAACTATTCGGCCATCGGACAATGGCTCAGTGCAAAATTGTCTCCCCCCCCCCCCAAAAAACCCCCCCCCCCCCAAGTGTTCCTGCAAACTCAAGAAATCCAGAGTAAGGTTTTGGTTAGGTACAACGTAGAACCGGGAAGTAGCACTAATGCTTGTCCACAAAACTACAAACTTCAGATATTGAAGGCCCCGGGAATCCCTCTAGCCTGGGCCAAAGATGTCCAGGGTTGGAACAAATCTAGTAAGATGTGGTGCCGTTATTGTATTCTTGATCGGATATGGCTTAGGACAAGAGTCTTCAAACTTGACAGCTTTAAGACTTGTGGACTTCAACTCCCAGAATTCCTGAGCTAACATGACTGGAGGAGGAATTCTGGGAGTTAAAGTCCACAAGTCTTAAAGCTGCCAAGTTTGAAGGCCCCTGGCTTAGGAAATTCATGAGGTAAACATTCAGGGTGACTTAAGTTTATGGAACGTCAAGGATTTTTTCCCTAATTATAGCAGCAAAAAGAAGCCAAATCAATTCTCCTTACGGTCCTGTGTTTATTCTTTTGGACAAAACTCTGCAACTCAAGTGGCATTTCGAATATAAAAACAGAGAGCCACATAAAATAAACCACTTCACAGAAATGCCTCCAACTCCATGGCCCCTGCAGTGCAGGTGGAGACACGTTCATCTTAAAACCAAGTGCATTTTATCCAGATGTTCACCCCGGCTTTGAACACAAGAGAACATCTGGATTTAAAATTCACCGGCCGTGAGGAAAGAGCGATCTCCCTCCCAGAGCACTGCAATGGTGGCCACGCGCTCTCAATCCATACAGGTAGTCCTCGACTTATGACCACAATTGAGCTCAAAATGTGTTGTGAGTTTCGTTTCATTTTATGACCTTTCTCACCCCAGTTGTTAAAGTGAATCGCTGCAGTTGTTGAGTTAGTTAACCCGGTTGTTAAAGTGAATCCGGCTTCCCCACGGATTTTTGCCTTTCAGAGGGTCACAAAAGGGGAATCACGTGATTTTGGGCCACAGCAACGGTCATAAACATGAACCAGCTGCCAAGCATCTGAATTTTGATCATGGAGGAGGCTGCAGTGGACATTAAGTGTGAAAAGCGGTCCTAAGGCACTTCTTCCAGTGCCGTGTTGACTTTGAATGGTCACTAAATGGACTATTGTAAATCGAGGACTACCTGTATTGGCAACTTTAAGCCGGGCAGACTTCGGCTCCCAGAATTCCCCAGCCAGCAAGCTCTAAACTGTGTTAAAAAAACAAAAAACAAATGCAAGGGAAATCTTTCAACTTTGGCTGTTTACAAAGGCCCTGTGTCCAGTTTGAAGACCCCCAAACAGGTGCCAGATTTTGGCTGCTCAGGTTGGGAAGATCCCAAGATCTACCTGGGTCATTCACCTGTGGAGACCACGAGATTCGTTTTTTGCTGGCCATGTTTTATTTCATTTGTTTGTTTGAAACAGGGGAGCCAATGGTACATAGTTTCCCAAATATGAAAGCAAAACCCACCCCACCCGACCCCAAATCCAGAAGGCAAAACGAACTGCCAGAAGATTGAGATGCTACATGCTACATTTAACCTAATTAAATACTCATGCTTATTTGGGGAGGTGAGACAAAAAGCATCATTCATAAAAACATACAATTAAAAACAAAAGGCCTGACCATATAGAACTTTAACCTACAGAAATGTTGTACCCTAATTGTTTCCATGCACACAACTAACATTACAAAAATCGCTTGTTTTAAAAAAAATAACACAATTAAGACTTCTAGGAGCATTTTGTGATTAAAAACAATTCCTAATTCCTTTGGAGAGAGAGAGAGACAGAGACAGAGAGAGAGAGAGAGCACCTCCAGATTGCAAATTCCTATACACATTTTACTTGAAGGGAAATCTTTTTTAAAAAAACTCACACGGATCACCTCAAAATAAGGAGATGTTATTTCAATCTCTATTTCAGCTATGTAGGCAACAAACCAACAGTGCTAGTGAGAACTTCATCTGTAAAGCAAGTCCAAAAGAATTCGACTTTCTACCGTTACAGAAAATATAATCTGCTAAAATAAATAAAACCGCTGCATATTAACATTTCCACTATAAAGTATGCATACCAGAATATTTATAAATATTGAATGGTTTTTTCTTCTTCTTCGTAATACCACCTACTACAATAATGCTGGCTAAATAGAAGTGCATTATGATAAGCACTACGGGTGGTTGAATGCTTGCCACATACTGCGGTTACTTTGAGGTAGAGCACACATGCGTACCAAATTCTGCATTCATTTACAGTTGCTGCTGGTATCATGTGTTGAAGAAATGTGTACAGTATGAAAAATTCTAAAATACATATGAATGGGGGGGGGGGGGGGAAGATTTTTTGTGGGGGGGGAAAAATATAGATTATTTTTCTCATGCAACTATGAATAGTCTCACGGTGTGATTTTTTTTTTCAAGGCAAGATTGTTATTGTCTGCAAAAGGACGAGTTGTTCAAAAAAGTGAGTGTTTCTACTGGTTTTAGTGCATTTCTTTCGTTTACTCTTCTAATTTGCATTGTCAAGCTCTTTTTTTTTCTTTTTCTTTTTAATATACCCTTGGTGTGCAAACGACATGCCAGTTTTAACAAAACACTGTCATGTTAAGAGGAAATTAAAAAAAAAAAGGAATTTCAGATCGTTAAAAACAATGGTAAACAGGAAAAACTATAAGGAAATCCATAGCCAAGTTACATCATTTGATTTCAAGTAATAAAAAAAAGACTACTTATAATAATAATAATTAAAAAAAAAGGAACACATTTCGCAAGTACAAAAAAAAAAAAGAAAGGAAGGAAGAAATGCCTGCTGTTTTAGTTCAGGTGTTTCAGGATGCTGCTGTAGGTCTTATGGGGGATTTGAGGAGATGACTTCATGGCAGAAGGGGTAAGGGTGGCTTGCAAAGACTTCAGGGGTGAGCCAACCGGGGTGGGAAACGGGGGGATAGCTATCGCTTCAAGGTGCTTGTTGAAGAGAAATTCTCCGCTATTGCTCAGAAAGTTCCCCCCTCTCTCTTTCTCCCCAAGCTTCCCATCTTCGGCTGGCTCAGCTTCTGAGGTCTCGGGCTCCTCCTTCCTGCTAAAGAACCTGTCGAGGTAACTGGGGTAAGAGGGGTTCTCCTTCTCCATCGTCTCATCCTTCCTGACCTCGCAACAGAACTGGTCTAGGAGGAAGCACTCCTCCCCACCGTGGCTGACCAGCTGGCTGTCCCACGAGCTTTGGTAGAGGGCCTCCAGCTGGGCCAGGTTAGCCATGCCTTTCTCCTGCTTCTCCCTGCTGACCGATTTAGAGATGCCCTTGGGTTCTAGGTGGGACACGGAGCTATTGAGGTCGTTCAGCTTGTCGACCGCGGCCGACTCGTGCTGCAAGCTGAGCTGAATCGTTCCCGCTATGAAGGAGTCGAAGTCAAAGGCTTGACTCTTCTCCTTCTCCGCGAGCTGCTGGGAGGCCTCCTTGAGAGCTATCTGAGCTTTCACCCAGCCGTTCTTTTCGCACTTGGACTTGCCTTTCTTATCTGACTTCTCTTTGCTCTGCTCCTTCCAGTTAGAAAGGTCTATGATAAGCTTGGGCTCATAGTAATGGTTCACTTCGCTTTCTCTCCAGACTAAATTATCTAGGTAGGACGAGGACCTCGTTTTGTAATTACAGGTATGGTTACATTCCAGATCACAATACTTGTTTTCGTGGTGATCTGGGTACGGCCAACAAGGCTCGGTGGAGAAGTGGGTATCAAAAGCCGGGTCTTCGAGATACTTCTCGCGATCGCCGTCCAAATATTTCCGCGGGTCCACCTGAACTTCCTCCTCGTCGGTCCCATCCGAAAGGGCCCTGGGGTCTCGCTGGACTTCATCGGCTTCGAAGTTGTTGTGGACGGGCCATTCGTGGTCTGAGAACTGGCTCTCGTGATACCTGTAGTAATGAATGCCTTACATGAGCCAAGAGTAAGTTTCCGCTGAAGAGCAGCTTCAGAAGGATGAGGTATAACGCCACGCTTTTTAAGCTTAGCGGTTTTGCAGGTCATCAACAGCCATGTGCGTGTCTCGCGGTTTTAATTTGGAGAACTTCTCAGTGACACCATGCAGGCAAGTCTAGGCAGTTATGACTGGTCATAACAGTTAAGTTATGACCAGTCACGTGGTGACCATTTTAAGTTACCAGAGACCACCCCCCCCCCCCCCCCCCCCCCAAAAAGCTACTTATAACCCGGTTTCGCTTAACCGCTGCCAGAAAAAGTGCTGGGAAATTCAGATCAGGCCACTTGATGCCTTAACTTTACAACTGCAACGACGACTATTTCAGGGCTCAATTATGGTCCTAAGTCAAGGACTACCTTTGCATGCAACTTAAGAAAACACCTGGTCTTCAAGATGCCCTCAAATGTTCGTGCCAGATGTGTATTTTAGCAGCATCTAACACCACGTGGCATTCTACTACTTTCTTATCAGCGGGTATTTCAAATATTACTACAACGGTCCAGAAGCATCTTCTTTTAATGACCCCATAATTCCTTGTAGGGTGGAGTCTGGGCAATTGAATGGAGCTGAGTGTTTACTGGCCGGATGCCCTTCCTGTCGCCAATGGGGAGTTTTTTCCCCCAGCAGATATATTTTCATCGTGCACAGACAGAAAAATAACTGCCTCTACCTAGGATCGAAGTTACAGCCTCCAAATGGTGAAAGCTCCACCTCTAGGCCACCGCACCACTCCCTACAAATATCCAGAATAATTTCCCAAAAGTTTACCTTTCCCAGTTATAGATGTGGCTGTGACTTTCATCCATCAACAGAATATCATCCACTTCATCCTCAATGTGGAAAGGATGACTTGAAATGGGCTCATCGGTTGGGAAGGAATAAATACTCATGTAAGGGTGAGACAAGGCTTCTTCCGCTGTCAATCGGTCCATGGGACTGAAGGTCAGTATTTGTTCCAGGAAGTCCAAAGCTACAGAGGATGAATCCAAACATTTAAAAAAAAAAAAAAAAACATTTGAACACAATATGAAGATCACATCTTTTATTATCACACTGTGTTTCGTATTTCTGAAACCAGAACAGCAATAACAATAGCACTTATACACTGCTTCATCGTGCTTGACAGCCCTCTCTAAGCGGTTTACAGAGTCGGCATACTGTCCCCAACAATCTGGGTCCTCAGTTTACTGACTCAGGATGGAAGGCAGAGGCAACCTTGAGCTGGTCGGGATCAAACTCCTGGCAATGGGCAGAGTTAACTTGCAATGCTCCATTCTAAGCACTGGGAAGGGAGGGAGGGAGGGAGAGAGGAAGGAAAAACAGCAATAGCACTTAAACTTATATGCTGCTTCACAGTGCTTTTACAGCCCTCTCTAAGCAGTTTACAGAGTCAGCCTATTGCCCCCAACGATCTAGGTCCTCATTTTATCGGCCTCAGAAGGATAGAAGGGTGAGTCAACCTCGAGCCAGTCAGAATCAAACTGCTGGCAGCAAGCTGAATTAGCCTGCAATACTGCATTCTAACCCACTGTGCTACCACAGATTTAATGATGAAAACGTAATGCAAACAAGTGGTTTCTTTTTTCTTTTCCTTCTGACGCAGGACATCTTCTCCATTGTGGCATTTGTGTAAGCATCTGTTTGGCTACGTCTCTCATTGCTATAACTAGTAATACGATGGAACAACAGAAAACAGAATGCACGGATAATAGGGGACTGGCCACAAACTAAACGAACAGTTGTAGGCTTAAAATATCAGACGCGTTCCTGAACACTGTAGCCTATAAATTCATATACGAAATACTTGTTCACTCAGTAGCCTTCCCCATTAAAATATCACCTGCAGTAGCTGGGCAGAAACACTTGCAAAAGCCGCCTCTCTTTTTTAAGCCACAGATGAGTAATCTAGGATGTGTTGAAAAAGCAGGCATATATTGGGAGATTTGTTCTTTCATCACGGAAAGCCCATTGTGATGCAAATGTTACGGCCCTTTATAGAGAACAAGTCAATTCCCTCCACGCAGAGTGCTGGATTTCTGTTGTAACTCTTTTGAGTTAACAGGACCAGGAGAATAATAGATGCATACATACATTTGGCTCCAGGATGTTCCAGAACTGGATAAAGAGCGGGGACATGGTATGCCCAGAGGTTTGTTCTTTGTTTTAGAGGGCCTTGTACACTGGGCACCACAACAATCGAAGTCATCCTGACCACACACTCAAAGCCTAACATGTAAGCGAGGAGGAGTGAGGGAAGACAAAAAGAGAGAGAGAGAGAGACAGACAGACAGAGCTGCGCTACCTTCAGGGCTGACGCCTGGGAGTAACTGAGTTAAAGGTTTGTGTGGCTCAGTCATGTCGTTTTTAATGTAAACTGGGATTACATTAAGAAGTTCCTGACGGTCTTCCTCATGTACAACGGGAATAGATTCCAAAATCAGCTGCATCTGTTCAAGTTCATGGGCACCTGGAGAAGCAGACAAGAAGCAAAATGTCAGCTGCGTTTGAGAATATTCCAATTCAAGGTTACTGTGATGACCCAAAGGGGCGTGGTCCAAAGGCAACACAGTCAAATAAGCAAGAAGTGTCCTTGTAATACCTCCAACTTTGCCCCCAATGTCCAGGTTACCTTCGGCTGGAGAAAAAAAACTCTCCCAAGAACAGTCTTTAAGTGGAGGAAATTCAGTCAGAAAACGAAGTACATACAACCTGTAAATAAAAATCCACACAAACCACGCTGCAGCAATTAACTTGACAGGGCAGGATAAGGAATTCCAAACTTGAAAGGCCAGCAAAACACACAGTTGGGAAGACGCCAGGAACCCAGATAAGCCTCGACAATACCAGATAAATTCACAATTTGCTCCCAACAACTTTGCTGTGTGCAGCCTCCCTTTTTAAACAGTGTTCCCAGCTGCAGCTAATGAAGGGAATCAGGGCCCTTTCCTCCCCCGTAAGCCACGCAACTCACGTTGCTCCCTTCTCTGTTCCTCCCTGCGTGCCCTAAGATGAAGGTGTGGGCCTGGGTCTTCCTCCGAATTCCCTCTTCCTTGCTCTACCTCTCCCCTGCTCTGCCCAGCTGACCTTTGCCCTTCCACAGTTTCTTCCCCAGCCAATGGAGCCACACTCCCGTTCCCTGTCAGCTGCTCCGCCTCCACCTCTGAGTCAGATTCCAACAGGGGCATGATAGCTACACTCTGTTGAGAGTCGGATGAGCAATGCATTCAGAGTGGATAAAAATCGATGATTAAAAATAAAAAAAATAAAAAAAATGATTTTAATTTAAACCGGTTTGATTTAAATTGGATTTTTTTTTAATTTTTATCAAACTTATTTTAATGAAATGATTTTGGGGTAAAAAAAATCTATCTATAGTTTTCTATTTAAAATGCATTCATAATTTAGTTTATTTGGCATGAAATGGAACTTAATTCTGCAGCATGAGGCTGTATCTTCTGCAATATTGAGACTGTCGGTGAGTCAACGTTGGGTCAGAGGAGGAGCCGCTGCGGGACGGAGGTGACAGTTGCTCTTCAAAGATTAGGATTTAAATTGAGTTGATTTAAACCAAGCCTTTTCACTAGTGATTTAAACGGACTTGATTTAAATCGAATCCACTCTGAATACAGTTAAGTAAACGTTAAGTAAATACGACAGTATGCAGGGATTCCTTATCGTGCCACCCTCAGCAGAGACCGCTGCCCCCCTGGGACCCCCCCTCAGCCTGGATGTCGCTACCCACACCCACCTCTTGGCAAAAAGGGGCACCCGTGGCATCCGTCGCTGCATGTTTTTAAAGCGGCAGGATTGTACCTGCCTGCCTTTACCAACCTGCGAAGAGAGTTTTGCCTGTCAGCATTTCAGCAAAGATGCAACCTGCAGCCCACATATCAATGGCTTTCGTGTAGTTGTTGGGCGACAGCAAGAGGCGAGGTGATCTGTACCATTTAGTTACTAGTCCTTCAGAAAGATGGCCCTGGAAGAGAGAGGGGGGGGGGGGTTTGCTTTTGATTTGTCCCACATCCGTTCGGCCCTCCTTCAAGCTCTTCGTGCAATTTATTCTGCTGAGGTGCCACAAGCATTTCAGAGAGTCTTAAATCAAATGGGCCTAAGTCCACCCCAATACCCAGCCTCTATTCTGACCCAGTTTAGCCTGTGTTCACAGGGTCATTGTGGCTGCCAGAGCGGTTTTTATGCATTCTGTGGAAGAGCCTTCTTACGTCATGAAATATTTGCACAATCAACCAAAGTTTTTAAAGTTTTTGTAAACTAATTTAGCGCTTTTGTTTAGGTAACCATGAGAGCCAGTTTGGTGTTTTGGTGAAGGGGCTGGCACCAGAAAACAGGCCTCCTTAGGCATGAAAACCAGACTTGGTTAATTTAACATCAGCCCCCTCTCTCTCAGAGTTGTTGATGTGGGGAAAGCAGGAAGTGAGAGCATTACGGATGTTTGTTCTCTTAAGTTATGCATTAAAAAAGGCAGGATAAAAATCTAATGATGATGATGTATGCGGGCAAAATAATAAAATCTGCTTTTCACGAAAGCCTTTCAAGTTACTTCTTGTATCTACACAAAAACCTACGTAGGATCCATTAGGGACTTTTTAAACTTTACTGTTGTATACATTGAATCAAGAGAGCTGTTTCCCTAGACATCTCAAATGCTTTAGCCTGTTTAGGAATGACAAATATATAACTGAGAACCAATTATTTCATTTTACAACAGACAGGAGACAATCCCTGGCCTTGAGGAACCTACATGACAAGTCTTCAGGAATATCAAAGTCTACAGCCAAACTCCAAAATGCCACTATATTTCCTGCGGGTGGAGGGATCGGTTTTATGGTGCTTTTATAGATAATGATTCCAGCTAGACCTTTAAAGCTTAACTTGTTTGTTCTGTAAGGGGAACAGAGACTATTAGACAGCCCTTGTGGTGCAAGACTCATAAATCAATCAAACATCAGAACTGAAGCTGTCTTTTCTAAGACTATCAAGCGCTGCCTTCCTCAACACCTCCCCAAGTGTTAGAATTGATGGCTGGTTTTTGCACCAGTGATTAGAAACATCTCCAACAAATGCCGTAGATACCAGACTGTCCAAGAAAAGAGATGGTACATATCTAACCACGCTAACATAAAGGAGTTAAACAGGGCTGACTGAAGAACAAGATTTTAGACATCGCTCGCTAAGGTTCTTGTGTGGTCTTAGCAAGATTCAAAATGCTCAAAGGGTGGAAGCGATTAACTCATGGAGGATGTGACTAGATATTAAGCACTAGCTCTGTACCCCTGCTTCGCTACGAAATTATATGGCCGGGCTTAGTTTTTGGGGAGGAAAATAAGGGGGGGAAAAAATCTGCCTCTGCCTACTAGCATCCAACGGTATTCATCTGGCTAGTGTCCTGTCAGTACAGGAGAGAGTTGAGGGCTGTTTGGAAACTGAAACAGAATTTCTTGTGCGAGCAAGGAGACAGCAAGAAGCCTGGGCGTGGCTTAGCTCAACTGTTCTATACTAAAGCTGATTGCTGCTGTGAAAGTAAAACTGAAACTCTTCTCCTCTGCTTGTGTTTTGCATTTGGAGCAGATTTCTTTTCAGGTGGGGAGCGGGAGTAGAACTCCTTAGCATCAGAGAGTGTTAATAATAATAATATATGAAATACTAATGCTCTGATGGTCATTTCGAAAAATCCTTTCTTAGTGAGCCCCTAGAAGCCAAGAGGAACAGATGTGCCACATTTCAAGTTTGTAGGCTTTACGGTTCTGGAGATTTTGTCATGATGCGCGAGTGGTCTTTCGCTTGTATAGAGAGAGAGATACCCTGCAATCAACTGGTCTCCAAATCTGACTGTCCCCTCCGTTTTAAAGGAGAACAGCCATTTATTTCCACTTACCTTATGAGAATAATGAGGGTCCATGATCCGTGCCAGGCCAAAGTCCCCGATTTTCAGCACCAAATCTTCAGTATTAATAAACAGGTTTGCTGGTTTGAGATCTCTGTGCAGGACGTTGGCCGAGTGAATGTATTTGAGACCGCGTAGCAGCTGGTACATGAAGAGCCTGGCGTGTTCTTCCAGTAAGGGCCCCTGCTCCACCAGGTTCGCCAGGTCGGTCTCCATGTACTCCTGGACAATGTAAACACAGTTCAGTTCTGTCAGAGAGCCGACGTCATCCGTCAGCTGGCTCCCGTTGGGGCCAAGGATTTCAAAAACTTTGACAATGTTGTCGTGGTCGAGTCTCCGGATAATCTTGATCTCACGCAGGGCGTGCTTGACGCTCTGAGGGTCAGAAAGCATGATCTTCTTGACAGCCACTCGCTTGTCGCAATCGTTATCGACAGCGGAAAAAACCAAGCCATTGCCACCAGAGCCCAGAGGTTTTAAGTCCATATACCGAGAACCTACATCGAAGCCATGAATGTTCATCAGACTTTCAAACTTCTCTGCCATTTTTTTTTTCCCCCTCTAAAAAGAATTTTCTATATCCGGTTTCCTCCCTCTTAAAAACTACTCCCGCTTCTATGAATAGAGAGAAGAGAAGCTTCCACTGGTAGACTGGGAGGGTCTCTTAGGAGAGGAGAACTCCGGTTTGACTGCTGGGTAGCTTCTTGGTGCTCTCATTGCATGGTCAGCCAGCCAGGCCTGGTGTTTCCTCGCTTTCGGGATAAGCACTTAAGACTCTTTACAGATCACGGCAGCGAGGAGAGACACAGAGAAAGAGGTTGCAGCATTCATAGTTCAAAGAAAGGTGCAGCACACATCCAACAGACACGGAAAGAAAACACCAGGGGAAAATCAAACGGAACGAAGTGGCATCTTGGGGCGCCCTTCACTCTACTGTGCCAAACTGATTGACGCTTAACAAAAATGTGAATAAATAGGCATGTAATAGGCTTGCGTTAACATCCTCCTCACAGTGCAGATACATTCAGTGTTGGACTGGTCCTGAGCAGCTTCATTCTAGGGTGGATGGTTTTCCCCGTCTCTGTTTTACAGTCTAGTTCGCTAAGAGGAAGAGGCAGCAAGGTACCAAAGATGCTGTTAGTTAATGATCAGGTGGCTCCAGCTCACCACAATCACAATCAAAGCTACCATCCATCTTATTCTGTGAAAACCTGAAGAAGGAAAAGAAAAAGAAGAAAAGAAGAAGAAAAAAGAAGGCACACGTAAGCAACCCAAATCATTAGACAGGCATAAAATTTAAATTACATAGTGGTTTTACCGCAAACTAAACTTATTTTGTTTTTTAAAATCACACACACATACACACAGAACTAGGCATTAGGAACCCTTTGATCTGCTGGATAGACCGGATCCATCACTGATCTCATTCCAACCCAGCAGATTCTATCTCATTATGTTCTTTTCATGGATAGGAGCGTCTATAAAAAGGCACAAAGGCAAAACGAATTCTTGCCTGTATAAATAAACACAGTGTCCATCCATTGGGGAAACATTCTGTACTTCTCTGTACTTTCTCCCCCCAAAAAGGTGAAACTTTAAAGAAACCGTTTCATTACTTGAGACAAGTTGCTATGTTCAATACTTTCATTAAAAAAAAAAAAAAAAACATGGTCCCACTAGGGGATACTTCCTAAAAAAAAAAAAGTGACGAAACGGTTGTAAAAACCAAAAGATTAAGCCCATTTTACAAAGAATTAATCTGAAATAACTCAATTTGCCAATCAGTCCTGGATAGGACCTTCTGCGTCCATAATCAACAAGCATTCGTGTTGCACTGGGGTGAAAACAGAATTAGAAATCAAGATATTCTGCATGCCTAACTCATTCCAGGAAATACATACAATAATAATGATTTTTAGATAAAAGAGGAAGGTAGAACAGAGACTATATAATTGAACAGAAAGGTAATCACAATACAGGATGTTTTTTTGCAGGGAGCAAATCTAGAAATATTGTAATGGGGACCAAGAAACCCGATTATTTCTATGTAGATCTTAGTTATATAAAAAAGAATTGTCGGTAGTGGATCATACTCAACTGAGTGGAATGTTAAAAATCCGTAAAGCTATTTTCTAGTACAATTAAAGCAACCCTTTTGTGGATCTCTATATACCAGCTCTGGTTTCCAGGGGCTCCTCTCCAACAGTGCAGTTTCATAGATTGTGACTTCACCTGATGATGAAGTCACTTTCTATGGAGATGGCATTATTTTGGAAAGTCTTCTGTTACATTACAGCAGAGGTCTCCAAACTTGGCAGCTTTAAGACTTGTAGACTTCAACTCCCAGAATTCCTGAGCTAAACTGACTGGAGGAGGAATTCTGGGACTTGAAATCCACAAGTCTTAAAGTTGCCAAGTTTGAGGACCTCTGCATTACAGTGCTATCTTGGTTCGCGTCTATTCCCTTTTTACTTCAAGAGCTTCCGGCTCCCATATTTGGCTGCAGGCACCAACTGCGTGTTTCTGAAATGTGGCTGAGGTTTTTAACAGGAAGAAAAGGCTTATTGCGCGCGAGAGAGAGAGACAGACAGACAGACAGACAGAGCAGATGAAAAGGAACGGGAGAAAGAGTGCGTGGGTATAGCTCACTAGCTTAAAAAACGAATATATCGGTCTCAGAAAAACAACTGTCTCTATAAAACAGCCCATACTTGGCAGCATGAAAACCGAATCAACAGTCCGACGAACGGATAACTGACTGTTAAGATGTAAAGGATGTTCTTTGATAGTCAAATAAAAGATACGCCTTTCAAGTTTACACGGCCTTTTATTGCTAAATATGTGGATTGTCTACTCAAAGGAGAGAAAAAAAAACAGCCCAGTTCACATTTTCATCATCTCACAGAACTTCTGTTTGAAACTATTTTCCAGTGAACCACAAGTTCTTGATGCGTATTTACTCACAGTGGGCCTAGGAAAAACTGGGGGTTGTTTGTTCTGATGCTAGCTATGCTTCAATCCTGGCTTTAAAGTATTTTTCTTGTAACTGAAGACGACAGGGACTTTCCTTCTGAGTTAGTCACTCCTGCCTGCGTATCTCACAGCAAGAAAGAATACCATTAAATAAATATGGCTCATTAACTCTTCCCCCTCCCACCACCACACCAGTCAAACTCTGACCACAATATACATTAAGCAAGCACAAGCAAACAAATGAAAAAAGCTTTCTGGCTCTTCTACCTGGAAGAAGCTACTCTCAAACTTAACCAGAGCTTAATGACATCATGAGTCAAGGCTTCAAACTCTCCAATTCTAAGAACAGCCCTACCCAACTTTAAAACTGACTGGAACAAAACCTCCTGAAATAAAAAAAAGCATGAGTAACATTTGTTCTGTGCTATTTCTCACCTCTTTTACATTTACAATAAGCCTCCCAAAGGCCAAATTGGTGGACAGGACAAATTGCGTTACCTCGCCTGAAGTCAAACAAGTCAGTCGGGAGAACCGAGTGAGCTGGGCTTTTCATGGCCTACACCAGGGGTCCCCAACCTTGGCAACTTTAAGGCTTGTGGACTTCAGCTCCCAGAATTCCTCAGCCAGCTTTGCTGGCTGAGGAATTCTGGGAGTTGAAGTCCACAAGCCTTAAAGTTGCCAAGGTTGGAGACCCCTGGCCTACACCTTTGTTTGCTCAACCCACAGACGTGACTGACCCTCAACAAAACCTCTGTGAGTTGTTGTGGTTATGATACAACGCAATTAAGCCTTCAAGAACAAAGAATATCATAAAAATGTCTATGACTTATAGCAGAGGCCACAATGGATCTCTCTCTCTCTCTCACACACACACACACACAAACGCATACAAAGTTTTACAGTATTTATAGTCCTTCGTTTTCAGTTCTGCTGTTTTAAAAGTGTAGCTGGGAAGTGGGTGGGTGAGTGAGTGAAGCAACTATGATAACTTTATGACTTGTGGACTTCGACTCCCAGAATTCCTGTGCTGACTCAGGAATTCTGGGAGTTGAAGTCCATAAGTCATAGCCCTAGTTGACCATCCCTGGTGGAGTCAATAAGTCATTTTTTTTATTTATTGGCAGCTCCAACATACACCCATTCTACTAGAGAACTAGCTACGTCCATGGTGCAGCTTTATTTTTGATCTAAATACAGATTTCCATGCCAGGCACAAAGCACGCACACACACACACACACACACACACACAGCTTTAAAGAGTTCACCATGCTTTACAATATGGTCCTTCCAAACTGACCTTAATTTTCCTGCCCACCTTTGCTGGGAAAGATTACCTGCAGCTGGCCATTTCCACACACTGCCCTGTAGGGAAGGCAGGCTGGGGAATAAAGGTAGTCCTTGACTTACAACAGTTCATTTAGTGGCTGTTCAAAGTTACAACAGCCCTGAAAAAAAGTGACTCGTGGCCATTTTTTCCAGAGTTACGGACCTTCCTAGTGTCCCGCAGGGTCGCGTGATCAAAACCCAAAGGCTTGGCAACTGGCTCATACTTATGACCGCTACTGTGGTCCCAAGACCACAGGATTCCTTTTCTGACAATCATATCCAACGGGAACGCCAGCTTCACTTAACAACCGGGTGACTCACTTATCAACTGCAGGGATTCGTAAAACGGGGGCAAGACGGACTTAACGAAATGTCCCACTTCAAACAGAAATTGTTGGTCCTTAAGTTGAGGACTGCCTGCATTAGGGCTTATTTATTTAGGAAATTTAGAAGGGAGGAAAAAAAGCTCCCAGCGTTAGCTTTCCATAAAACTTATTAGATAATCAGGCCAAGTCTTTCTGGAAGGAAGAAACCAATTCTGGAAGGAATTGGTAAGAAAAAAGCTGTTATACAACCTGATAAAAAAAAAAAAAAAGCCCCATCTATGTAACACGGTGAGGGTGCTTATGTGGATTTTTAAAAAAAATATATACCAGCCACGTTGCAAGCTGTAGGCAGTGAGTCATTGTAAGGACTCCTGAAACTGCAGCCTTTCTCAACCTCCCACTTAGTCCCCACACATTCTGAAGGCCAAGCTATTGTTAATTTACCCATGCTTCCCCCTGATTAAAAGCCATTTAATACTTAATTTTCCCCATTGTAAACCAAAGAGTATGCATCCCATCAACACTCGGATTTCCAAGCTCTTGAAGAAAGAGATACGGGTTTGATCTTGGCCTGATTTGCTTCCAAATAAACTTTTACTTTATAAATTGTGAATAGCTGGGACATGTTTCCCACTACTTCAGAAACCATACACAAAAAAATAAAAAAAGGGTCGCAGCATATAACAGAAACTACAACTAAATGGATTATTTTTTTTCCTGCTGTGTGGGTAGGCTACTCTAGAAATCAATATACATTTCAGTGAGAATTTCTTGGGCTGACATAAACCTGAGCTGAGACTGATTTTAGTCTTGAGAAAGTACTGTGTTCACACAGCTTGCTAAACCACAGATCCAGCAGAAGATTCCAGGCTAAGAAATAGACAATAACTAAGCCACCTTTATTATGAATTATTAGTCCACCTAGCCTAAGAGGCTGGGTTACCCCCAAACTGTCCCAGTTCAGCTTTCCTACTTAACTGGGACCAGTCTGATGTAGTAGTAAAGGTACCAGGTTTGGAACAGGGAAGCTGTGAGTTCTAGTCCTGCCTTGGGCATGAAGGTAGCTGGGTGACTTTGGGCCAGTCACTTTCTCTCAGTCCTAGGAAGGAGAAACAATTCGGAAAAACAATACCAAGAAAACTGCAGACTAATCCAGGCAGTCACACCAGGAAACAAAACACCAGCTTAAAACGACGTACTCTTCTTAACTGTGCCGATCTTTCCAAATGAATGAATGGCCCTTTTAGAACAACCAACTTATTCATTTATTTATTCAAACATCCCAGCCATGCATAAATCCCACTGTGTCTCTGGAGAGAGTGCTAACCAAGAATGACAGCTACTCTGCAAAGATGGTCATAAATGTAAGAACAGGGTTTCCTTCTAGAGGAGAATCTTGAGTTGACATTAGAGTTTAGAAGGATCTAAGCCCTCTCTTGGTTTGTACCCTTCGACTAGTATTGTTTGAATTAAAGACCCAACAAAGAGCACTTTCTTAAGACAAGACGAATTCAAATATTCAGTTATCTATCCACCCTTACTCAGGAGCCCAACACTACTCACCCAGCTGTAAGCTGCTTCTCCC